GACGTTAGGTGGAATGCACCCTTGTGATGATCTATATTTGGTTCGCATTATACTTGAAACTATAGGGTATGCGCATGCACCACATCCTACGAGTAACTTGATTACTCACCCTAGTTGTTTGGGTTATTTTGCAGGTAAAGAAACTTTGTTTTAGGATGCATCACATCCTTAAGTTGCTTTGATGCCTTGAAGTATTTTGTTGTATTTTGGAAAACATGCAAGTGTTAGCATGTAGCATCATTTTGGTGTAAAAATGCTATCTTTGCCTTGAATCATGTAACGTGTACCCAAGTACACCTTTTGTTGCTTATTTTGTATGTATAACAGGAGGCTAAGGGCTATTAATTTTAAAGTCACACAAGTATGTTTTTAAACTTGTTTTGGATCATTTGGAAGGCATGTATAGCTTCAAGGTTGCCTTAAACTTGCTTACTATTTTGTAGTTCAGCTGATTTCTTATTTCTGTTTTGTCGTTCGGCAAATTGTTGCCTTTTTTTTCACCGTTCGACAATTAGAACGTCAAAACGCCTGACTATGTAAGTCCGAATGCCTGACCATGTAGGTCAGAACATCAGAACGCTTGACCATGTAAGTCAGAACATCAGAACGCTTGACCACGTATGTCCGAACGTCTGACCATGTGGGTCAGACCGCTTGACCATGTAAGTCCGAACACTTGAACATGTAGGTCAGAACGTCCGAACGCTTAACCACGTATGTCCAAACGCTAGACCATGTAGGTCAGAACGTCAGAACGCTTAACCATGTAAATCCAAATGCCTGACCATATAGGTCAGAACGTCAGAATGCTTGACCATGTATGTCCGAACGCCTGACCATGTAAGTCCGAATGCCTGACCATATAGGTCAGAACGTCAGAATGCTTGACCATGTATGTCCGAACGCCTGACCATGTAGGTCAGAACGTCGGAACGCCTAACCATATAGGTCAGAACGACCGATCTTGTATGAGTGCCGAACGGGTGCTCAGTGTTGAGTGCCGAGCAGGTGCTCAGAACCTTTCTTTTCATTTGCTTTGATCATCTTTCACTTCCGCATTTCGGATCCATTATCGGATCATCTTTTGGTCATCACTAACGCACCGGGTTTATAAAACTTGGGTCATCACACAACTGTTCAAAAACTGCCTTTGTTATAATATTGGCGCTGCTACCTGGGTCTACCAAGACTCTTTTGATCATGCAATTTGCTACCAGAAGACTGATGACAAGTGGATCTTCGTGGGGAAGCTGAACTCTAGATAAGTCTCCATTTCCGAACCCAATATTAATACTGCCTGAAGTAATAGTGTTTATTGAGGATAACTTCCTTAGTTTGTGGGCTGCCCTTAACCTGGAACGGTTTACCTTTCTGACTCTTGGTTTTCCTTTGATCTCCCATGTATCGCATGAATGACCTTTACTTGATTTCCTTCTACTTTCCGAGGATTGACCTCCCTCGGCCTCGATTGCTCTTCTGGTGCGAAGTAATTTGTTAGATCTCCTCTGGTTATCATATTTTCTACTTTTCGCCTGAGGGATCTACAATCATTGGTAGTATGCCCATAATCTCTGTGGTAGGCACAATGTTTACTTTTATCCCTTTGTTCCAGGGGTTGCCTCATTGGTTGAGGGGCTGTAAATCTTATTTTGTTCTCTTGGAATAACCGAGCTAATGTGGTGCAAAGAGGTGTGAACATCTCTTCGGTCCTTTGTCTTTTCTCAGGTACTTGGGCGACTGGTACTAAGGCATATTGGCTTCTTTGACTTTTTGAACTTGACGTTTTTTCTCGGGGCTTATTTTTCACCGTGACAAGGGTGGCATGTTGTGCTCGGTGGGCTACATTCTCCTCGAGTCAAATGCAGATTTATGCCCTAGCATTGAGAGTCTGCATGTCTGGAGGGGAATATTTGACTAGGGAGGTATGGAACTTGGTTCCCTGGATCATGCCAATCTTGAACGATTCTATAGCAGTCTCAGGGTGACAATCTGCTATCTCCGACGCCTGCATGTTGAACCTAGACAGGAAATCCTGTAACGGTTTTCTTCTCTTCTACCTTATAGTGAAGAGACTAGCGATAGTCTTCTTCTGCTTCTTATTTCCACAATACTATGCTAAGAACATGGCGCACAAAGTTTCATAGTTCGGGATGGACTTGTGCGGCATATTCTTAAACCATTCCAATGCGGCTCCCGTTAGATTAGTTAGGAAGACTTTACACATGAATGCATCATTGTGATTGTCTAGAGCCATTTTCTGCAAATAGTGATCGAGGTGACGGGAAGGATCTCTTGTGCCGTCAAATTGGGTGAAGGAAGGCATAGTGAATTTCTTAAGTTTGTCGACATAGTATATATGATTAGTGAATGGAGTCTTCAACAGAGAGCCCCTGTGCTTTCTAACCATCTCGGCGGGCGTCTGAATCCTCATGAGCTTCTTTTCATCAAAGGCCTCCTGGACACCAATGCCATTAGTCCACACTGTAAGCTTATGGCTGGATTCAGCCTGTTCGTCTTGTGCGTGATAAGGATGATTGTCCGAAGCAACCACCTCGATTCTCGTCCTCTGCTCTTGCTGAACTTCGTTAGGCCGAACCTCGTTAAGCCAAATCTCATTAGCTTGGGGTTCGTTAACAGGAGGAATATTGTGATTAGGGGGAGGTCCCGCTGCATCACCTGGTGGTGGCTGTGGTGCTATCTGTGCCATAGTTGCTTATAGAGCATCGTTCTTCTGTTGAAGCAATGTAATCTGAGCTATGTTGGCCTCGTTCGCTTGATGAAACGTCTCGAATTGGTGCAAAAATTCTTCTCGCATCTTTTGCATTAACTCTATCTGTTGATCAGCTACTGTTACGGATCCTCCGATTGACATTCCAAATTGTAGTAGCATAAAAGGTTTGAATCACTCGTGGGAGTATATTTTTATACGCTTCCCACAAACGGCGCCAAAGTGTAGGTGCAAAAATTCACTTAACTAAAATAGTTAAAAGAAAAAATATAACTCACTCAATAAAAATAACAATTAACAAGAATTATTTAGAGAAAAACGTATATTGCTCGATGATCTTTATTGGAAGTCTCTGCCTCTATTTATATACAAAAAGATGGTGAAATTATGGTAGAAATTGTCTTGCTTGTCCTCTAATTCATTCCATATATACCATTCTTTACACATAGAGTTCTTTTCTTTTTATAATTCTTTCCCTATCAGACTTTTCTTTTATGGAACTTTCTTTCTATGCAGGATCTTTCAATGAGTAGGACTTGTTCCATTTGTGATGAATTTGGGCCAAATACAACCTGGACCAGCAGATCTTATTAACGGTCTAGAAGTTCAATATTAACGACCTTGGGTTGGTAGTGACTTAATTTGGGCTTGACTAAGGCTGGACTTCTGCAATCTATTGAAAGATCAAGAGTGTAATTTTTTATTATGGTGACGTGGACGCTTCTCATTGGAGGAGGATTTTTCCCTCCACAGGTGACTTGGATTATAGTTAAAAATATATATATATATACCGAAATTAAAAATAAAATTAAGGGTTAAGTGCATTAAACCCCCCTCAATTATGAGCCAATTGCAGGAAACCCCCTTAAACTAAAAAATACCCCCTAAACTAAAAGAATGTTGCATTTAACCCCAAGGTGTAAAATAACCGTTAACTAAAAACTAAATTTACTGTTTTGCCCATTATACATATCCAACTTTAGTTGCTGATGTGGCCTTTGTAATCTCCATATCCAATGAAAATTTGACAAGTCATCCTATCATTAATAATTTTACTGTGGACAAAAAAAAATGAGAAATGATAAAATACATTTAATTATTGGACTTTAAAATTGACCCATGTGAAAAGCTGAAGTGGGCTGGATGCAAAACACTATTTCTCTTCCTTCTTGGTTCATTCTCTCTCTTCCATCTCTGCACATGGCAGCAGTGTGGGGGAGCTAACATCCGGCACAAGCTTTGTGGGATATCTTGGTCTTCAACATATATAAATCTCCTTTTCACGAACCTCTCTAAATCTCCCAAACACAAGGCGGATCGCTACCGGAATCTATGGAGGCCATGGTCGCTAGAATCCATGGAGCCCTTGCCGCCAACAAAGCAGCCCTCCTCCTCCTTAGCTCCACCGTCTGCGGCTGCACTCTCTAGTGGAACTGATCCGATCCAAACCCATGTTCATGGTCAGGCGGCTACTGCAAAAACTTGTGAATCTTTGTCCTGATAATCCTACAACTTATATACTGCTATCAAATGTGTTGTCAACTTGGGGTTAGCCGCAAGACCCAATCATAAAAGCTATACATTTAGTCACAAAAGCCCTAAAAATCTGTTGTGGCCGATCACTAAACCAATCCAATCGCAACTGCCCAAAAAATACGCGTTATTCTTTCAATCAATTCCCATCCAAACACTGACCTTTGCAACAAACGATTTTTGTTGAATGATTTTTCACCTTTTCGTCATTCTCGTCATTGCCGGAGTTCGACGTTAAAGAGAAAAAAGAAGAAGAGAGAGGTGGATTGGAAAGAGATAGGGGTGGTAGTGGGTGTGGAAGGTGGATGTGGTTGTCAAGGAAGAAGAATCTTTGTAAGGGCGAGAGAGCGGCGGCAGGTGGTGACGGTGTGGCAGCCATGGACTGGCGGTGCTGGTGATGGTCATGATAGACAGCGAAGGTGGTTGGAGAGAGAAGGTGGACGCGCGAGTATATATATATATACACTTGTATATATAATATTCATTTAATTATAAGGTTATTTTTGTCTTTCTGAATATTTGCCAAGTCATGTGACAAACTTGCCTTTCTTTCCGTTGGATTTCAAACAGCCAAACAATATTTTGCAACAAATTGAATAGTTCAGGGGGTTAAGTATCTTTTTAATAGTTCAGGGGGGTTTTTTGAGAAAGAGAAAATTATTCAGGGGGTTTAATGCAATTAACCCTAAAATTAATTGCACACATATATATATATATATATATATATATATATATAGGGTGATCTTGCATATTCAACCAAATCGGTTCCAAGTTCCGAGAAGTGATCTGCGACGAGCACGGCGTCGATCCGACCGGTAGGCACAAGGGCGATGGATCGTCCGATCTTCAGCTCGAGAGGATCAACGTCTATTTCAATGAAGCTTCCGGTGGTCGCTGCGTTCCTATGGCTGTTCTCATGGATCTCGAACCAGGAACCATGGATAGTATCAGATCCGGCCCGTACGGCCGGATCGTTCGCCACTTCGTCTTCGGCCAGTCCGGTGCCGGAAACAACTGGGCCAGAGGTCACTACACCGAAGGCGCCGAGTTGATCGATGCCGTTCTTGATGTTGTTCGCAAAGAGGCTGAGAATTGTGATTGTCTGCAAGGTAATTTGGTTTATTTCTCATTTCCATCCAAATGTATAGTCATGCTTACATATATACACTCATGCATATATAGATTTAGTTATATATATACCCTTATATGTGTGTGTATACATAGGATTTAAGTTTTGAATGGTTCGGTTTCGTGGTATGTGAATTTTAGGGTTATATTGAAGTTTGATACACTGTTATGGAACTTGTGTTTGCGATTACTGATTAGACTGTAAATGTACTAGATTATTTGCATTTTCTTTGTTTGAATTGCATTATGTGTTGTGTTAGGAAGCATGGATTTAATGCTTTGGAGGTCAGAGGATTTATAATTCCTTTCAATGTATATGTATTTTCAAGTAAGGAAATGAAGATTTACTTAAGAAACGAAAAGGAAATGAGCATTTTTCTACTAATTTAATTTCCTGTTTTAATGTTTCAGTGAATGTACCGACTCACCATTAACACGTGCAGCATTCTGATCCCTAATATCTTTGATGCTGAGTTTTGGAAGCATGGAATTGGAGTAACATTTATTACAGCATGGAATTGGAGTAACATTTATTAAAATTTGGATCTAAAATGATCTACAATTCTGGGATATATTTTGTTCTCCCTTTTAGAATATTAAACTCATTAGATGATTTATAAGTTTCTTTTTTAGCATTACTCTCACTTTGATTGTGATTGCCTAACATTATAAATGCAGTAGTACTAGAATCACATATTTTTTTTAGATCTTCTGAACATGAAACATATGGTACTTATTAGATGATTTGTAAGTTTGTTTAGCACTACTCTATCATTTTGATTGTGATTTTGCCAAACATTATAAATGCAGTATTTTTTTCGATCTCCTGAACATAAGGTATTTGTAGTTGTTGTCCTTGTGGAAGTAGGGGACATTGAAGTTTTAAGCCTCAGTGGAGGCATGAGAGTGCTTAGCTATTAGCTACAAAAAAGAAAGAAGAAAAAGGGGAAAAAATCATGGAAGTAAAAAAAATCAACTTCAATTTTAAGGCCCTGTTTGGTAACGCGGCCAAATTTTGTTTTCTGCTGTCAATTTTTTAGAAATGAGAAGCTTTAACAGAAAACATGTTTGTTAACTCTGTTTGTTTTCTGGGCATCTTTTTTTTTTAAAAAAAAATGCAGCACTGCTGCCACTTTCTTTGTAAATTTGAAAGCATCAAAATGATGCTGCGAAGTAGTGTTTCGAAAAGAAGCGGGTACTGCGGTGGCTACAAGGCCCACTTAAGTTATTACGGGCCTCTGTCTTAAACGGCCGAGGCCACACATCTCTCTTTTTTATCGGCCTAACATAACGTCTCACTTTCAACATCCATCTCTCTGTCTCAAACATCCATCTCTCACTCTTGCCCTCATCTCACTTCATCTCTCGCCATCTGTCCACAACAAGGAAGCCAACTGTCACCCTTTTTTTTTTCACCTTTTGAAGCTTAGGGTGTGTTTGTTTTTACCGATAACACACCCTAAGCTTCGATTGGTGAAGAAAGAGAGTGAGAGTTGGTTTCCTTCTTGTGGTGAGAGAGTATAGTGAGATGAGAGCGAGAGTGAGAAGGTGGATGTTTGCGAGTGAGAGAGCTGAGAGTGAGATGTTACATTAGAGAGAGATGTGTGGCCTCTGTTATTCAAGACAGAGGCCTGTAATAACTTAAGTGGGCCCTGTAGCAGCTACAGGGCCCACTTCTTTCCGCAACACTACTTCTTTACTTACAAAGTGGCAGCTACCCTTGTTTTTTGTAAGATACCCAGAAACAAAACAGAGTTATTAAACACATTTTTGGCTGCTGCATCTCATTTTTTGTTTTTTGTAAAAATGGCAGCAGGAAACAAAAATTGACAGCTTTACCAAACAGGGCCAAAATTATGATTTTTATATTGTTTGAGTGTGCCTTATCATCCATTGATCACTGCTGGATGATGTTCAAATATTATGACAACTTGGTTTGCAATTTATTGTGGCATCTTGGTTAAGCAAGTCCTTTTTGTTATGAAATGGTTAGGAAAAATGTTATTTTACTTTGTGCACTTATTTGGGAACATTATTCAGGTATCGATTGCCAGCACAGAAAGATAATATTTGTCATCTATTGCCAAACGGGCTTGTGATGCAAGTGTGACCTGTATGTTTCTCTTGTTTATGGGACGGGTTTCCAGGTGTGCCACTCCCTTGGAGGTGGCACAGGTTCTGGCATGGGAACCCTTTTGATATCCAAGATAAGGGAAGAATACCCAGACAGAATGATGCTCACATTCTCTGTTTTCCCTTCATCAAAGGTCTCGGACACAGCTGTTGAACCTTACAATGCCACCCTCTCTGTGCACCAGTTGGTAGAGACTGCTGATGAATGCATGGTCCTAGATGATGAAGCACTCTATGACATTTGCTTCAGGACCTTGAAGCTCAGCACTCCAAGCTGTGAGTATTAAATTTCTATTGGTTTAATTAGACAAGGACCTTTATAATGAATAAATATTGAAGCTTAACTTAATGCCCCTTTGTTTTCCAGTTGGTGACCTGAACCACTTGATATCTGCAACTATGAGTGGGGTAACATGCTGCTTGAGATTTCCTGGCCAGCTGAACTCAGTGCGGAAGCTGGCAGTGAACCTGATCCCATTCCCACGTCTTCATTTCTTCATGGTGGGGTTTACACCACTCACCTCTCGTGGATCGCAGCATTACATCTCCCTCAGTGTCCCAGAGCTGACTTAGCAAATGTGGGATGCCAAGAACATGGTGTGTGCAGCTGACCCTCGCCATGGTCGTTACCTGACAGCATCAGCCATGTTCAGGGGAAACATGAGCACGAAAGAGGTGGATGAACAGATGATCAATGTGCAAACAAAAACTCATCATACTTTGTCGAGTGGATCCCTAACAATGTGAAGTCAAGCGTGTGTGATATTCCACCGACAGGCCTAAAGATGGCATCCACATTTGTAGGGAACTCCACATCGATCCAGGAGATGTTCGGGAGAGTGAGCAAGCAGTTTACAGCCATGTTCCAGCGTAAAGCGTTTTTGCATTGGTACACTGGTGAAGGAATGGACGAAATGGAGTTCATGGAGGCAGAGAGCAACATGAATGATCTGGTTGCTGAGTACCAGCAATACCAGGATGCCACTGTGGAGGATGAGGAAGACTACGAGGGTGAAGAAGAGAATTACGAGGGCTAAGACATCGGAGAAGGGTGGCACTTACCCTCATCTGATGAAGGTAAGGTATGACAAAATCAGCTCCCTTGTGGTTGGTTATCTACTACTACTGTGTGGCCTCTTTTGCTCCTTTTGCTTCTGAAGTTTCAGCTCATTTTCCTTCCCTTTCTGAACTTTCAGCTTATTTCTTTGGTTCTTATTGTTCCATCTATTACTGTATTCCTTGATATGTCACTCTGTTTGTTCTGTTGAAGCTTTTGAATAATAAAGTAACTTTTCCTAAAATTCAATTGGTAATTAATTCCTCAAATTAGAGAATGCCCTTTTATGCCGCAATCATACTCTTTTAATCCGTAAATTGTTTTCTTAAGAATTTTTTTTCAAGTCAGAAAAATTATTTTCCATAATCACCTAATTTTTTTGAATTTACAATAAGTCATTTCGGCAAGTCTGTTGTTCATGAAATGGGCTAAGCTTCGGTTGAATGTAATGGGCTAAAGCCCTCGTTTGCTACTTTGGCCCATTAAATGGGCCTGTAGATATTTATGATATAATCAATTAGGACAAGTGTTACTATTCATTTCCTTTCATTTTTCCCTTCAACCAACCACAACATTTGTCCCAAACAATCTGATTTTGGTACAAAATTATATAATTCTGCGTACTATGCTTTCAAATAGTTCGATTCTCACATCAATATTTGTACATGACAAATTACTACAGTAGGCCAAAATTAATATTAGAAAACGACTTTAAAAAAAAAATGATATACAGCAATAGGAGAATCAAACTAGTCAAAAATTTGTTCAACATGAGGTGACTCACTTGTGTACAAGACCGCAACAAATTCTACAATCTGAATTAGGGCAAAAAAATTAATGCAATGTCCTTAATTGTTAATGCCACCTATTAATACAATACACACAGAGTATATGACAAAAATTATTTAATCGCTATAGGTTTCATGTAACGCTTCATCTCTTTGATTCCTACCATTCTGTGCTTTCGTGCTTCAGCAGCTTTGGCTCTGATATGGGCCAACATCACAACCCTAGTAGTCGGATCAAACGCCGATGACTCATGTGGGACCACCAACCTATAACCCCCAAACATCGTCTGAGTCTGATTCACAATTAGCGCCTGCTGATGAACCAGACAAGGTATTTGACCGGGTCTTTCTTGGGCTTTTTCTATTTCCAAACCTATGTTATGGATTTGACCTCTTTCACGCTGTAAAAAACACAGAGTCACACACACGTTGACAGAAGTAAACCGAAAACAGGGAGACATTTAAGCCGAAAACCAATCAAGAAACAGAAATAAGGATTAAGAAAAATACCCTTTTGTCGGAAGGTTTCTTGTGCTGCTGGGGCCTTTCGTCGGATTCACTCGGCGGGAAAGAAAGAGGCGTAGCTGGACTCGAAGACTCGACCATGAATTTGGGCCCTCTCTCTGTTCTCCGCGGCGGAGGCAGTGCCGGCGCCGATCTCCTCTTTTGGTTGCCCCACCGCAAACGGGCCTCTATGAGAATCGGTAGATCCAGCAATATATTGGCGACCACTTCTTCATCGGAGGAAGCAGAGAGAGTGGGAATGGCGGCGGCGGCGGCGGCGGTTTCGATCATAACTTTCTTCTTGAAGTTTGCGGATTTTAAGACAATCTTCATGAATGCAATATCGACGAAAGAGGGCTCAAGAAGATTGATGCGGCAATCAACCACTTTTACATGGAATTTTGGACACGATTAGAGGATTTTATAATTTTAATATCTTAAGATTTTTTTTTTTGAATTTACAATAATATCATTTCTATTAAGGTAAGTTTCTTGCCGTGCAAGCTCATGTAATGGGCTAAGCTTCGGTTTCATGTAATGGGCTAAAGCCCTCTTTTGTTACCTAGGCCCACTAACTGGGCCTGTACATATTTATGATATAGTCAATTTGTATAAGTGTCATTATTCCTTTCCTTTTTCCCTCCAACCAAACACAACATTTGTCCTAGCCACCATTTGCATACTCCAACTTTCACAAACAATCTGATTTTTTTTTTACATACTACACCAATAATTGAAATTATAAAATAAAATAGAACAATAAAACAAAAAGACTAAAATAAGAATGAGGCAAAAATTTTATAGTGTTTCTCAAATTTACATTACATTTTAGATATCCGATTAATGCAATGTCCTTAATTGGTAATGCCACCTATTAATAAGAATAAAATTTACAATTTATTTAATCGCTATTGGTTTCTTGCTTCTGCAGCTTAGGCTTAGATGATATTTATTTACAATTTATTTAATAGCAAGAAAAGAGAGAGAATAGAACTTTTAGTATAAAATCACTACTTCTCCTGCAAACTTTAGTTTCTAAAATATATTATAGCATTCATGATACATTTTCGCTCCATTTGTTTGGATGTAAAGTATTTTCTTCAAAAAAGATTTTTCTTTTTTAGATAAATATATATATTTTTATTTTTACTTTTTTGGTGTTTGGAAAATGTTGAGGTTGAGGTTGAGGTTGAGGTTGACGTCGAATTCATCGGATGAGACGTATAAAATAACTTACTGAAAATTGATGGGTAAGAAAGTTTTAATTTTTTTTCTTCTTCGCTAATATTTTATGACAACCAAATATCAAAAAATAAAAAATATATATTCTAAAGAAATATTTTTCATCCAAACAAAAGGAGCTTTTATGACGTTGATTTCCTGGATAGGTGGTGAAATAATCATATTTATGCCAATTTCGAATGAAAATAAAAAAGAATAGTTTCTTGTTTATACTTTTCTTATTGTCCTCATATTTTGTACTGGTTATTAACGGCTATTTCATTCTCATCCACTATGATGGGCTGGGTAAATACACGGACTTCTATTATAAGGTCTTGTTAGGCCTGAATCAGTCTTCTTGTATTTTGTTTAGCAATGTTACTTTGCTTTCTTTTCTTCGCAGGGCCTAGTGTAACTTTACAATATATACAGGGCACAGTACATAAACCCCCCTCAATTTGTAACCTTTTTCAATAAATCCTTATTTAATTTTTTACCAAAGAACTCCCTTACACTTGTAACCCTAGCTAATAAATCTCCTTGTCTAATTTTTAACCAAAGATCCCCCGCAACTATCTAGTGGGTAAAAGAATTGATATTTGGACTAAAATGGCATTTTATTTAAATCTTAATTTTTTTAAACTTCAAAAATTCATATCTCATAAACTGTACATTCAAATATTGCAAATAATATATGCATATAAGATTTGTTTAACAAAATTTTATACCCAGAAAGAAATAGACAATCCAAAAATCTACTGCAACAATCTTATTTTATTTTATTTTTTATAAAATACTCGGGTTATTTGCAAGAAAATTTTCAGAATTATTCATTTTCATTTAGAGCATAACATATAAAAAAAAATTAGCCACAAATAGAGACCGAATATTCAAAAAATTTTAAATCATGAGTCTATAAAAGAATAAAAATACTTTAACGCAAAATATGATATCTTATGAAATCAATCTCTGTTGGGGCTAAAAAAAATTTTATAATTCGGCTCCATATGTAAATAAATAACTCTAAAAATTTTCTTCCAAATATCTCTAGTATTTTATTTTTTAAAAATAAAATAAGATTATTGGAGTAGATTTTTAGATTGCCTATTTCTCTTTGATTATGAAGGTCTATTGTACAAATCTTATATTTCTGAAATCTTTATTTCATAAGCTTTCCGTGCATATATTATTTATAATTTTTAAATGTACGATTTGTGATATATGAATTTTTGAAGTTCGGGAGAATTAAGATTTAAATAAAATGGCATTTTGATCAAAATATCAACTATTTTACCCCTTTCAATAGTTGAGGGGGGTTCTTTGGTAAAAAAGTAGACAAGGAGACTTATTGAAAAATGCTACAAGTCGAAGGGGGGTTTTTTAGTAAAAAAATAGATAAGGGGAATTTATTGAAAAATGGTACAAGTCGAGAGGGGTTTTCTATATATATATATATATATATATAAAATTGCTTATTGGTAGAATGTTTTGCTTCCTAAGTGGGTGTACCCGTATTTGATTTCCCCCTTCTCCCATTTGCTGGGATGAAAAAAGAAAAAAAAAAATTTGCTTTAACCGTAAATATTTAATGGATTTGATAGCCAGAATGAGATTTAGAAATAACTATAGTTTTTTTATAAAAAAAAATTAAATTGTAGAGCCGGAGCGAGTGCAAGAGCCACAAAATATAAGTGAGAATCAGAACTAGAGCGCAAGAGGGAGTACGATCAGGGAGTAAGAAAAATTGCGTGACTGAGGATCATATACTAGGGGATCTTTCCACTATTGGACACAATCCTTAAAGCAGAAAGTACTGATATTTAATTGGATGTGTCACGACGATATTGCGTGTGTTTGATACAGACATATCAATATATAATTGGATATATGTCTAACGCGATTAGAAATAACTACAAATTTAAATGGTTATTTTTAAAAAACGGATAGGTCAATTTGTGAATATATATATTTTAAAAATATCTTGCTACATTTTGATTTAAAAAATCTAATGAGGTAAAACTAAAAAAAAGGCTTAAAGTCCAATTTCAACCCTTTTTTTTTTTTCACCAACTTAGAAACAAAACATTAAACAAAAGACAAAATACAATAAGGGATAAGAGCATTTAACAACCACTCGGGCCATATGCTCCACTCCAAATCCCCACATTCGGCTACAAGAGCCTTTTTTCCTATCAAATGAGAGACGACGTTTCCTTCTTTGGGAGTCCATACCAAAGAGGAACCCGGATAAACCTAAAGAAGAAAAAAGATGTCCTCAAAAACCACCACAAGAGGCTCCGCAGAGGGCATAAAGCGCTGCACTGACTAACAATCCCCCTCAACGACCACCGAATGGTAACCCCAATCCTTTAGCAAGAGTAGTGAAGTCCTCAACACCAGACCTTCTGCCAAAGTTGGGTCACTAACATTCCGGAAGAAAATTGAAGCCATCTTAATCGGCTGGCCCAAATGATTCCTCACAATCATGCCTCCATTGCATGTCAAAGCAATAGAGTTGAAAGCAGCGTCGAAATTGAGTTTCAAAAAACCTTCAGCGGGGTCGGACCACACCTTCGAAGGATGAAGACGAGGAGGAGATGGGATTACAGAGAGCTTGTTTTGCCTGTAAACTTCTAAAAATTCGGTAAAATCTCTTAAAGCCCTCTGAACAACCTCAAATGGGTCTTTTTCGGACATAGAAAAACATAGGTCATTCATACTCTTCCATATGGACCAATAAATAAATGCAGCCAAACCGTAATACTCTTCCGACTCCACCAAAGAGTTCCAAGAATTACATAACTCAACCCATCTCTTTTTCCAAAAGGTAGGCTGCACTCCACTGAAATCCATTTGGAATGGGCTTAGTTTCCAAACCGTACACGCAAACGAGCATGTGCAAAGAAGATGGTCAAACGTTTCATCTTGACTCCCACAAAAAGCACAACAAGGAATATCAGACACTCCTCGTTGGAATAGTTGCTTATTCACCGAAATTCGCTCATGGAGGCTTTGCCAAATAAAAAGCTGGATCTACCTGTGAGCTTTAAGACGCCACACCTTCTTCCACATAGAGCCCCGGACCGCATCAAAGCTACATCCATCCACAGGTGAGGGAGTTGTGGGCTTAAAAAGAATTGAAAGAGCTACTTGGTAAGTGCTTCGAACGGAGAAGTTTCCATCTCTTGTGCAATCCTAAACCTTGCTGTCAGCACATGAGCGAACACTCAAAGGAATATGCAAAATTTGCCTGCAATCACGCTCATTAAAATGTTGGTGAACCAAAGATTCATTCCAACTGTGAGAAGAATGATTAATTAAGGCTGTCACAGAACTAAAATTAGCCCGACACTACAAAGAGGTAGCCTTGAAATTGGCATAGTCCGGTAACCTTTGAGGAATCGCACTCTCACCTCTTTGAGTGCACTCACTCTTACGATCTGCACTCGTAATATATATATATATATATATATATATATATATAATTGCTTATTGGTAGAATGTTTTGCTTCCTGAGTGGGTCTACCCGTATTTGATTTCCCCCATTTGTCGGGATGAAAAAAGAAAAAAAAAATTGCTTTACCCGTCAAAAAATCAATTAATGGATTTGATAGCCAGAATGAGATTTAGAAATAACTATAGTTTTTTTACAAAAAAAAAATTAAATTAAATTAAATTGTAGAGCCGAAGCGAGTGCAAGAGCCACAAAATATAAGTGAGAATCGGAACTAGAGCATGAGAGGGAGCACGATCAGGGAGTGAGAAAAATTGCGTGACTGAGGATCATATATACTAGGGGTCTTTCCTCTGTTGGACACAATCCTTAAAGCAGAAAATACTGATATTTAATTGAATGTGTCACGGCAATATTGCGTGTGTTCGATACAGACATATCAATATATGATTGGATATGTGTCTAACGCGATTAGAAATAACTACAGATTTAATGTTTATTTTTTTGAATCGACTAGGTCAATTTGTGAATATATATATTTTAAAACTATGTTGCTCAGTTTGATTTTAAAAATCTAACGAGGTAAAACTAAAAAAAGGCTTAAAGTCCAATTTCAACTTAAGAGCTTTGTTATCACTTCTCGTGTCGAAATTTAAGCAAAATCAGCGTGAGATAGGAAGAGGAAGAAGAAGAAAAAGTAGAGACCTCACCCAAAATGAAAGTTGTCATTATGTAGTCAAGGATGAGAAATTGAAAAAAGTTAATTTTTATGTATTAAATATATTTTTGTTTATTCAAAACTTTTTATATTTTATTTTGTGATTTACCATCTTAGCCAATCATCGGGAATTGGCATTATGTGAGCAAAGAAAATAATACACAAATTACATCATCTTGTTATCATTATTAAAGTGATCTTACCGTAAAAAAAAAAAAACAATTTAAAATACAATAAAAAAAAATATACGAGCCAGTCAAATTAAATTAATAGCCAAATTTGATCAAAAGAAAGAGTGCAGAACTTTGATTTACTTTTATAATATATTATAAATGAATTTTGGTACGAAATTTTGACTATATAATCCTTGCACAACACTATTTCAAATTGAGTGTAGAACTTTGATTTATTTCTATAATTTATTATAAAAGAATTTTGGTACAAAATTTTGACTAAATAATCCTCGTACAATACTATTTCAAGTGTTTAAATTCCCACCTCAATACATGTACATGGTCATAATAAAAAGACGAAGTACTACACCTCATAGAAGGGCCTTATGTACAACAAAATAACATGTTGTTTGGCAACATTAAAGATGCAAAATTAATATTAGAAAAAGACTAATTTAAAAATAAGCTAAATGCTATTCAATTCCAATTTTATAGATTAAAATTTATGCTACCAAACACATTATGAATAAATTTGAAGTGGGTCAATTAGGATATCTCCTTGGTGCTAAAAGCAAAAGAAAAAAAGAAAAGGATATATCCTCCTTGATTAGCAATGCTCCCCTTAGTCCCTCCTTTATAGTAAAAAAAAATATAGGTAAATTAAAAATAAAATTAAGTGCATCTATATATATATATATATATATATATAGGGTGATCTTGCATATTCAACCAAATTGGTTCCAAGTTCTGGGAAGTGATCTGCGACGAGCACGGCGTCGATCCGACCGGTAGGTCCAAAGGCGGTGGATCGTCCGATTTTCAAAAAAAATGCCGCACTGCTGCCACTTTCTTTGTAAATTTGAAAGCATCAAAATGATGCTGCGAAGTAAATGGCGAGTTGATAGCCTCTATAAATAGTAAGCCTATACTCCCCAATTGATTGTCTAGTTATTTACGTCAACTTGAGAGTAATTTGATTCTCACGGGTGATCCAGTGAGTAAAGAGTTTTTCCTGAGCAAATTATAAACTCGAATATCACACAAATTTAAATGATCAAGTGTAATTTGTTGGTACTTGCACATTAACTCACACAATTCTCTCAACGTGTGCTGCTTTCACGCTTCGAGTGCGTTCACTCTTACTATCTGCATGCGTTTTCGCTCATATTCTCACTCTGTGTGATTTAAATTTTTGAGCTTCAGGTCTCAAATTCGCTCTTCATCCGGCCGTGGTCAATATAACTTAAATTTGCACATATACAATCTTGTTTATAGCGACAAAGTTTTTTGTTTCTCAAAAATAAAAGTAAATAGAGATTTACATTAGGATGAGTAAAAAAAAAAAAAAAAAAAAAATGTTGAAATATACAATCACTAACTATCTTAATTTTTGGCACATCTCCTCTCATTCATGCTCATTTTTAATTGTAAGTTGCCCACGCATTTTCTTTCTTTTTTTTTTTTTTTCTTCTATCCAATGAGGACGCATTTGAGGTAAGACAAGCTAGATGTTTGCGGATTTTGGTACATGGGGAGGCCATTTTCATAATATAATAGTTTTGCTAGCATACAAGAGGCTATATTTGAGAGCTTGGGAATTCAAAACTCACCAACACAAAAGACAATATAGTTATTTAAAAAGACATACGAAAAATAAAAACAGTTGTCAATTGGATTGTTTCTCATGTCTATACCCTCCTCCTCCCCTCTAATAAGTAACAATTAACTCCTCACCCCTTGACAATTAATTAGCAAAAGGGTTTTATCAGCGTGTTATTGCTTGTGTTTCGTGTTTATTTATTTATGTATTTTTTTTTTTTTTGTTACAAAGAGTGTTTCTGTAACAAAACAAAACATAAAAGCATATTTGGTAACTTTTGTTGCGATATAAATAGAATCGTGTTTGTTATTTTTTTTAAATGCCAAAACTGGAAACACTAATTAGGTGGTGTTTTCAAATATTTCCGCACTATAACAATAACATTGCAACGATTAACAATACCCAAAAAGAAAACCGTAATGACCTTTTTAACTAGTAATTTTATTATTCAAACTTGTAATTTTTTTACCGATCGCGTTTTCATGTTTTTACTTCAAAAAATTTCTTAAAAAATTAAGTTATCAAACATGCTTTGCTCCCTATGTATGACCTTTGAGGAATCGCACTCTCACCTCTTCTTTGACTGTGAATTCTCCAATCCAATTTGGAATTTCATCCAGCTGAAATGCGGATTTCACATCAAGTTGGATTGAGGTCATAGCTTGGTCATCTCATTATTGGAAGGACAATTCAAGGAACTGCCTTGTTTGGCTGTGTAAATTGTGTCTCGCCGCAACTACTTATTGTATATGGAAGGAACAAAATTTGCGGCTATTCGAAGGGAAGGTGTCCAGTGCAAACCAGGAGTCATATTTTCTCCTTTTAAAAAAGGCCACTGTTACACTACAAAAATTACAAAATGTGTTGCGGTGTTTTATTTTGCTACAGTACAACAACAAAAAACATTAAAAAAAAATAGTTGCCAAACAAGTGGTAATTCAATAAATGTACCATTAATGAATGTGTTTGTTCTAAAATGGAAAACTACATCTCACTAATATGGGTGACACTCGTTGGATCACAATAATAAGCCTCTTACAGCAACTCCATTATTGTTAGTATAAAATCACTAATTCTTCTATAAGCTTAAGTTTCTAAAATATATCCTGGCATTCGTAATACATTTTTGCTTCATTTGTTTCCACGTAAAATATTTTTTTAAAAAAGTATTTTTCTATTTAAATATATATATTTTTATTTTTACTTTTTCTGTGTTTGGCAAATATTTAGGTTGAGGTTGAGATTGAGGTTGAGGTTGAATCCATCATCGGGTGAGGCATATAAAATAACTTACTAAAAATAATTTATGGATAAGTTATTTTAATTCAAGTTTTAATTTTCTTTTCTTCGTAAATATTTTATGACAATCACATATCAAAAATCAAAAAATAAAAATATATATATATATTCTAAAAAATATTTTACATCCAAACAAATGGAACTTTCATGACCTTGATTTCCTGGATAGGTGATGAAGTATTTTGCAGTAATCATATTTATGCCAATTTCAAATGAAAATAAAAAAGAAGCAGTTTTTGTTTATATTTTTCTTACTCCCTTCTGTACTCATATTTTGTACTAATTATTAACGGCTATTTCATACTCATCCGCTATGACATGCTTTGTAATTTGTATCTCAAAGAAAATTCACAGAACATGTACTTTTTAATGTATATTTGACTTTTTATACAAGTGCTAGAAGTTCTTGTTTCATAATCATTTTCTTTATGTTTTTATTGTTTCAAAAGTTTGTTTTTGAAACAAGGGTGTTAAACGTAAAAGGAAAAAGAAAATTTCTTAAAAAGGAAAATTCAATTGATTTAAATGTTGGCATTTGTAAAAACCAAATTGGATGTTAACAGATTTGAATCCCATCGTCAATAATCTATTCCTTCTTTTTGTTAAATAATAATAATAATATTATTATTACTACTTTCTCTTTCTCATATATATATATATATATTTACTTTTCTTAAAGCAACTCACGCACCATTTAAGTAACTAGTTCTATTCGAAAACCAAAATAAATAAACTTTAAAAGCTGGACAAGAGTAGCTACATTGTCTTCTGGGCTCATTGGTTGGGCCAGTGACCCATCCAGACCTTATTCTGATGGAAAGGGAAGGATGAAGCCCATATATTTTGATTTTACTTCGTAAACTTGGAACTGCATGGACTGGATTAGCTAATGCCATGTACTGTTAGCTAGCCCAATACAAAAGCTGAGGCTATTCTAGTAAGCAGGCCCAGTACTTTGGGTATGACCCAATATTATTCCAGAAACTAAAATAAGCAGTGCTGGGCTTGGTTGTACCTTCCCCAAATCCCATTGATTTTAAGAATTTGAATGGAATTGTTATTGAACTAAGTCCCGTAAAGCGGGAGTAGGAGCGAATGTGAATGCAAGAGTTAGAGAGTGAAAGTAGCAAAATCTAAGTCACTGTTTTCACGTTTTTGCTTCCAAAAATCTTGCTACAAATTTTAAGTTATCAAACATGCTTCCAATTACTATTGAACACAATGAACAACAAAAACGTTATTTTTTTTTTCGAATGAAAAAAGAAAGGCAAAATGTTTCGGATTGCCAAACATGCCCTAATTATCTAATTCTTTTCATTTATTTCATCTTAATTTTAAAACAATAGAAGTAGAGGGGCTAAAATCCCTTCCACATCTCTTCTCATTAGATGGTCATTTCCTATTGTAAGATGCTTGTACATTTCCTTTCTTTTTCTATTAAATGGGGACACATTTAGGCAAGACAAGTATTGATATTTGGGCATTTTGGTACATGACAAGGCCATTATCAGAATTTTATTGTTATACTAGCATAAAAGGATTTTATCTTAAGAGAGTTTGGTAATTTAAAACTCACTAACACAAAAACAATATACAACTGACTGTTTGGGGAATTGACTGTTTAAGCTTTGGTTGGGGCCTCTTGTTTGGTCTACCAGTAGTGTTGCGTTTGGGCCTAATTTCCCATTGGGCCACTTCTTTGTATATTTCTTCTTTTAATACATATCATTTGCTTTGCCTTAAAAAAAAAAAAAAAATTAAATTAAATTAAATTTCCTAATATACAATTATACTCAAAATTTGAGGAGTCATATTTTCATCTATAATTTTTGGTTAACAAACAAGAGAGTCTCAATATTTAGTTTTTATGGTTAGATTTGTTACATTTGTTCCTAATGTACGCAGTACACATTATATTACAATTAGTGCCCACGACTGTGACTAGCTCTTTTCCTTATATATTGGTGTTGAAAGGGCTTGTAGAACATACTAGAATTATAGTATCTTATTAAATGGTGTAGAATTTTTTAATTTTTTAAAGAGCTTGTGTAAAATACTAGTGTTGTAATATTGTACCAATTCACATGTACTTCATTTTTTTTTTTTTTCTTTGCTTAGGATTGCTATAAATAGGTATGTGCTCGGGGATTGAAATCAATTGAAGTTAAGAGTAGGGTTTATCATTCTTTGTTTTAAGAGTTTATGAAATATACGACTCTGAGTTTATGAAATATACGACTCTCTTATAATATTATAAACTTGATTTTATTTATGCATTAAAATACATATTAGTGGCCAGTTGTAGATATCAGCTATGATCTAGAATTGGAGTAATTTTATCATATAATTTAGTTCTCAATTGCTTATGATATAGCCAACAAACAAAGGTGAATAAAAACGTTGGAAATTACAGAGAGATTGAAATTCCAAGTCCGGACTAAATAATAGAAATCTATCGAGATCTCAAAAACTTACCTGGGCTTCTCTTTCTCAAATATATGTTTTCCAAACAAAGCATACTTTAAAAGCTGGACAAGATTAGCTACATTGTCTTCTGGGCTCATTGGTTAGACATTTAGACCATATCATGCCCTGGAAAGGGAAGGCCGAAGCCCATATATTTTGATTTTACTCCATAAACTTGGAACTGCATGTACTGGATTAGCTAACACCATGAACAGTTAGCTAACCCAATAATAAAGCTCAAGCTATTCTAGTAAGTAGGCCAAATACTTTGGGTATTGTTAAATACAAAAAAGAGAACTTGTATTGTATATATTGATGTAAAATAAGATATATACAAGAAGGGTTTATGTAGGAGGGGTTATGTGTGATGAACAAGTAAACCTTATATGTATATGGTAACTGTACATATGGTAATCCTATACAAGGTAAACCTATATATGGTAATCCTATATAAGATTAGAATATAACATACAATATAGTAATAATATATTCTAACATACCCCCTCAAAATCAAGGTGGATTAAATGAAACCAGTTTGAATTTGGAAACGAGATCTTCAAAGCGGCATGGCGAAAGCGATTTGGTGAAGACATCAGTGATCTATCAAATGAAGTGATGGATCGCAATTATAAGGTCTTCTGAAAAAGATGATGACGAACAAAATGACAGTCAATCTCAATATGTTTAGTGCACTCATGAAAAACATCATCGTGTGCGATCTGGATTGCACTCCTATTATCACAAAAACTATGAGTGGCAGTGGATGAAGAAACTCCCGTGTCTTGAAGGAGCCAACGCAACCACAGAAGCTTAGAAGTAGTATCAGCAAGCGCCCTGTATTCAGCTTCTGTGCTAGATCGTGCAACCACAGTCTGTTTCTTGCTACGCCAAGAGATAAGTGAATCACCAAGAAAGAAACAATAGCCTGTGGTGGAACGACGATCTGTAGGATCTCCTACCCAGTTTGCATCTGAATAGGCACAAAAAATAAGCGATGATTGGGAAGAAAAATGCAGTCCATGAAATATAGTGCCTTTGAGAGAACAAAGGATGCAATGAAAAGCAGCAAAATGAGTGGACCGAGGGGCAGTCATGAACTGACTAACTATGTGAACAGCATGAGAGATATCATGACGAGTGACAGTGAGATAAACCAAACTACCTACCAATAAGCAATACAAAGTACTATCTCGAAGATATTTTTCATCATGTAGATTAAGTCTTGTATTGCACTCAAGAAGGGTATCAACAATTAGACCTGTCAATGGATCGGATTTTGATCCGAATCCAATAACCCGTTTGCTTAACAAATCGGATATGGATTTTGCCGATCCGATCCGAATTAATATTTTATATATATATATATATATATATATATATATATATATATATAAGAGGCAGCCCCAAAATCTCCAAGCCCACTTCTTATTCCCAAGCCCATTCTTCCATTTAATCTTTATCTAAACCCTAACCCTATATAATTCATAATATACTCACACTGTTACACAACACTACCCTTGCCTCAAAACAAATTTCCCTAAACACGACTCCCACGTAGCAGAGCTGCAAAATCAGAAAAACAAGGAACCCATCGATCGGCGATCGTAAAATATGACTCCTCTTAGGTTAGTGTTCTTCCTTTCTCTCTTATCCGATCTCACTTCTCTCCTCTTCATATTGGCATGATCGAAATTGGGACGATTTTTTATTTATTTTTCATGGTGTGAGATTTAACACTAAAATTGATATAGAAGTGTAGATCAGTGCGTACACATGCATAGATTCACATATGCATATTTTTCTTTTAAATTTTTTTATTGATATATATTTTGCCCTAATTTGTGTTGTCTTTTTTTTTTTTTTCCCTTTTCTCTTTCATAAAATCTTTTAGTTATTTTCTTTTGCTTTCCTTCTATTATTACTTTCTCTCTTAATTTAATTGTTCTTATATTTTCTGGTGTGAATATTTTCATAATTTTATCTCTAGAAACTCTCTTTAAAAAAAAAAAAAAATTCTTCACGTTTCTGTTATAGTATTTGCTCCAATAATGTCTGAAAAAACCTAAAGAAAATGATGGTGATCGGACGTCGAATAATCGGATCAGACATCCGATAATCAAACAAATCGAATACAGATTGACTCATTAAAAATCCGTCGGATTATCGGACCGAATCGGATCACTCTTTATGCTTATCGGGTTCGGATCGGATTGACCATGATTCGATCCAAATCTGATCCGTTGACAGCTCTATCAACAATCTTATTGTCAATGAGACCTGATTTTGAGAGAAGATTAGATATATATTTCGCCTTAGTAAGATAGTAACCATCTGTAGATGTAGTTTTCTCAAGACCAAGAAAATAACTGAGAGGTCCAAGATCCTTTATCTCAAACTGACGATTGAGAAACTGTTTAAGCTCCTGAATTCCAATCAAATCATCGCTAGTAATGATCATATCATCAACATAAAGTAAAAGAAGAATGATACCTCGATTGGTGTGTTGAACAAATAAGGCAGAGTCATATTGACTAGTAAAGTAACCAAGTCGAGAGATAATTTGACTAAATTTGGCAAACCAAGCTCGTGGTGCCTGTTTGAGACCATACAAGGCACGTCTAAGTCTGCATACCTTATTAGAAGGATGAGTAGAATCTAGAGGAGGCTGCATGTATATTTCCTCGAGTAAATCACCATTGAGAAAAGCATTCTTAACATCCATCTGAAAAAGTCCCCAATGACGAGAAGCTGCCATGGCAATAAGAGTTCGAACAGAGGAAAGACGTGTAACAAGAGCAAATGTCTCCTTAAAATCAATGACATATTCCTATGTAAACCCTCTAGCAACAAGTCGAGCTTTGTAGCGCTCAATAGACCCATCTGCACGAGTCTTGATCTTGTAAATCCATTTGCAGCCTACAACAGACTTTCCAAGAGGCAGATCAACCAAATCCCATGTATGAGTTTTTGATAGTGCATCTAACTCTTCTTATATTGCGTGCTACCATATGAGGTTAGAAGATGCCTCATGAAAAGTTTGAGGTTCATGTAAGGTAGCAAGAGTATGATAACAATGAAAATCACTAAGATGTGCATGTGGATTTCTTACCCGAGTTGAATAAGGGCAAAGATGTGTGGTAGGTGCACTATCAGGAACCTCAGACTGAGCAGATGAATGGGACTTAGCTGGTAGAGGGTTGACTATATCAGATGATTCTGTAGAATTAGGAAAAAGATCAACAGAAGTGTCAAATAGGGGAAGAGGAAAAGCCTTATCATGAACACCACTAAACTTAGATAATGTATGAAACAGTTTATGCTCCCAGAAAATGACATGACAAGAAATTATGAGGTGTTTATCAACAGGATCATAACATCTATATCCCTTTTGTTCAATTCCATAGCCAAGAAAACAACAAAGTCAAGAACGCGGTGGTAACTTATTTCACTCATGAGGTTGAAGAAAAACAAAACAGGCACACCCAAAGACTCTAAGATGACTGTACTAGGGAAGTTTTCCATAGAGACGTTCATAGGGTGTTTGATTTTGTAAAAGTTGTGTAGGAATACGATTCAAGGTATAAACAGCAGTAGATGCTTCACCCTAAAAAAATGAAGGCATAGAAGCAGAAAAAGTAAGTGAACGAGTTAAATCTAAAATATGTTGAAGTTTACGTTCAGTTCGACCATTCTGTTGAAATGTGCCAGTACGAGAAGTGTGAAAAATTGTATCATAATGTTGAAGAATTTTTTGAAATTCATGTTATCAGTATTCTTGAGCATTATCAGATCAAAACAATTTGATTGGTTTAGAAAACTGAGTAGTAATCATTTGAGTAAAATCACGAAATATTTTAAGTAATTCAGAACGATTTTTCATTAAAAAAAAATATCTATGTGAATCGTGAAAAATCATCAACAAAAAAAACAAAATATCGTGATCCTCCCATAGTAGATATAGTCGAAAGTCCCCAAAAATCAGAATGAATAAGATCAAATGGAGCAGAAGCAAAAGAATCACTTTTATTAAATGGTAAGGTAGGCTGTTTTCCCAATTGACATGAAATACAATCAAAAGACTTAAATTTAACCTGACCTAACAAACCCGTATATGCAAGGGTTTTGACACAAGATAATGACGCATGACCCAAACGAGAATGCTATAACTCAAGAATAGGAGAGGTGGATCGTGTAGAGGCAGTAGAAATAGTGGTAGTAGGCAGATGTAATGAAGAAAGTTCAAACAGTCGTCCTATCTTACGGCCTGTCCCAATGATTTGTCCTGTCCGAGGATCCTATACAACACAACCATTAGAAGAAAATGTTATGGTCAATCCCAACTCAGTTAATTGTCCAACAGATAAAAGATTAAGAGAAAGATTTGGAACAAGATAAACATGGGAGCACAGATAACTGAGATTGAGAAATAGTTCCTATGTGTCTAACAGCCATAGTGAAACCATCGGCTGTATGCATGACAAGAGAATGAGAAGTATGAGTCTGGGATGTGAGTAAGGTAGGATCAGGTGTCATATGATTGCAGCAAGCAGAGTCAAAATACCAAGAACCATGTTTACCTGGTATAGTAGAAAGAGCAGTGGAAGATGCACCTAAATATCGAGATAAAACCTGGTTGAGAACTTCTTCAAGGTCAGTTGCAGAGAAAATAGATGAGGCAGATGTAGATTCGCCAGAAGAGGTGTTGACTGGTGTTAAAAATGGCGGTGACAGATATTCTGTGTTAGCCACAGCTGTAGTGGAGAGTCAAGCACGAGTACGACAAAAATCAACGTTATGCCCTAGAAACCGACAGAAAATACAGTAAAGACCTGAACGGTCCTTTTTGTTATTGGATTGCTGAGAGCCAGATCGATTGTTTTTGTTGCGTCCATTGGAGCTAGACTGATTGGTATTGTTGTGTCTATTTTGTCAGAAAAATGAGGCAGGACAATCTGGTGCTGATTGAGATGACATTAACTGAGGAGCAGAATATGGTGTGTGTAATACCCTTAATTTTAAAAGGATAGTCTCGGTATTTATTTATTTGTTTTAATTATATTTTTAATTATTTAATTGATTATTTGACTAATTGTTTATG